TTCTTGGTCTGTTGAGCCGAAAGTCTTAAGATACATAACTGTGGATATTGACACCCTCGTCCATCTCTGCTGCCACCATCACTAATCATGGAATACGCCTATTGCTCATCTGCCCACAATACTGGCTCCCCATTTTCCCCACACTTCTGTCCTCCCCATCAGGATTGGTTTAGACTGCTTAAGCTTACAGTTCTGTAAGGGGTGCAGTTGTATCTCAGAATCTCTACCATACTTCACTGTGTTGGCTGTGGTTAGGCAAGTCTTACTGCTAATTCATCTGTGCTTCACAAATTTGTAGCCAATACTGTCTCATCTACTCCTTTATCTTCCAGGCTTCTTCCTCCTTCACACCTTCACACACCACCTGTCTCTGACAAGTTATTTTATGCAACTCACACTTTTTAAAAAAGGCTGTATAAGCAAATAACATTTTCTACAGTTTAAATGGAATAGAAATCCTGATAAATTTTTTGGTGCAGTAGAGACATCTAGTGACTAATTTGGGTTATTAAAATCCAAAGGACTCATGTAAGAGGACAAAAAAAACCCTCTTTCAAATCCTTGAAATATCCTTCTAATGACAGGTAGAGCTCTGCATGCTCTCCCCAAATTCACAGACAAAATAATTTTGTCAGTTCTGTGCAACTATTAATACATAGGATGGCAAACAGTGATCAAACATCAGTGGCTTCCATACCTCCAGATCCTCTTTTCTCCTTTCCCCAGGTGTCTTCAAAAGCTTCAATAAATAAACAGATAAATAAATCCAATCTAGCTTTGCATCACAGGCTGAGAGAATTGGGATTATTCATCCTGGAGAAAAGAAGGCTTTGGGATGACCTAATTGCTGCCTTCCAGTACCTGAAGGAGCCTACAAGAAAGATGAAGAGAGACTATCGACAAGGGCAGGAGCGACAGGACAAGGGGGGATGGCTTCAAACTGAAAGACGGTGGTTTTAGATTGGCTATCAGGAGAAATTCTTCCCTGTTAGGGTGGCGAGGCACTGGCACAGGTTGCCAGGGAAGTTGTGAATGCCTCATCCCTGGAAGTGTTCAAGGCCAGGTTGGATGGGGCTTGGAGCAACCTGGGCTAGTGAAGGCTGTCCCTGCCCATGGCAGTAGGGTTGGAACTAGGTAAGATTTAATACCCCTTCCAAGCCAAGCGATTCTGTGATTAACACAGAGTCTTTTAGTTACCAGGATTATGATAGCCCATTGCCAAAATAATTTAATGATTTAAGTTGAATATACCAAAGTGTCGTTCATCCTTCTTCTATGGCTGGCCCCAAGAGAGCAAAATATTGCACTTCTTGACTTACCACTGTGATAATTCCAAAGAGCCATGTTGTCTGCCTTTAACAAGAAAATCTAATGACCAAGATGTGGAGCAATCACAGGTCAGACTCAGCTGTGGTTTAATGCTGAGCTTAATAATGCCCCTGGAATAAGAGGATTAGCATATGGCCTACAGCTTGGTAAAGAGCAGAACTTCCTCTGGGAGAATTCCAAGTTTTGGTATCATTTCAAGTTACGATAAACCCCCAAAATTTAGGAATTTCTATGGGGAGGGAAATCCAAAGAAAAAATAAAGTTGGCCTTATCGCAACATTTTCAAACCCAAATTTTAAAATTAATATTATTCTGTATGCTATAGATAAATTTTTAAAAAATAAAAATGTAGAAAAAATATTTCAAAAGTCTTGAAATTGTTTTTTTCAGCAATGTCATATATTCTCTCCATTCTTCCCCATATCATTGCTTTCTGATTTCAACCCTGAACTAACGAAGTTTGGGAGGAAGTCATCTGATAATCACAAACCAAAGTAATCTAACAATCAGGAACTGAAACAATCTAATAACCAGGAGCTGAGTTTTCTGTTGAAACACATTTTAGTGTCCAGTTGCTCTGAGGAGGGTATGTACATACTCGGCACGTTGTCAGCTCAGGTTCCAAATGAAAATTGTGCGTGGGCTGCAGGTCACAGTTTAGGAGAAAGGTGATCAAAATTGCAGCTATATTGTTTTAAATAGAACATGTAACAACAGAAGGGACTAAAAATTGAGAACTGTTTATCAAAAGCTACAAGGTGAGAATTTACAATTGAAAAAAACCCTATCTAGTTTCCTTCCGCCTTACAGACATCTAAACAAATGTGTTGACCTAATGTGGTGTGATGGGGGGAGGCCAGAAAGGATGTAATAGGGGATGCTGTTTCTTCAGTGAGTCCATTTTGATTGCAGATGTGAAAGCAGCTTTTCAAAATGGCAAGTGAGGTGGTTTATGCCAAGGTGTCGGCCAAGGAAAGAGCACATTTGGCTTCACAAATTTCAGATGCAGGTAACAAAATGGTCATCTTAATGTTATTTACTTTTGGTTTGCTCAGTGTGCTTAAAACTTTAATTTTTCTTTAATCATTTGTAAGAAGCTGAAGTCATGTTGAAAGCATTTTTATAAATATTGGTGTCCACCTCTGTTTATAATGTATCTATTTTCTTGACAAACTCATGTTTATTAATAGAATGAATACTGAATTCTAGCAGAAGCGAAGACTGACCTTTAAAATACCACTCCGGATTTTAGTAGCATGGCTGAAATGTGCTGTTTCTGAAGCACATAAATGTTCAGACATTGAAGATATTCATATGAATTATTGGAAACTCATTGACAGTTACAGTCCACTGAATGTACTTCTCTCACCTGCAGGACACTTACATTTTATATTTTAATTTGATCCAATTTCTTAGACACCAGAAATACTTTAAAATTCTAAAATGATAGGTCTGTTTATATTTAATTTTTACCTTCTCATTCTTTCTTCCTCTCTCTCTTTATCTATCTTTGTCCCTCTCTTTCTTCTAAAACCGCTACGATGAGAAAAATGCAAGTCAAGATTCAATAGACGTTTCTATAATTTTGAAAACTTTTAGTCCTACAATTTGCGTATCACCCGCTGATTTCCTCAACTATAAAACTACATTACTTAAAATTATATTTCCAAAAACTAAAGTGCAAGATATAGCCATTAATAGACACAGGTAAGAAATAATTCATGTTTTTAAAGCAAAAGTATCAAGTTTACTTTTTAGATTCTTTTTGGATCTTTGCTAGTTATAGGATAATTAAGCATGGAAAATTTATTTAAACTGTAATATTCAGAGGTTACAGTAGGAAAGAAAATATGTCCTGAACATGCCAGAAATGCAATATCTATTCTATAAAAATAATATGAAAAGAATCTGT